GTGTGAGAGATCTGAGTATTAATAATAGTATCAGCTTAAAAAACCATTAACCAATATGATTCAGACCCCCGCATTTTTCATTTTGCAAACGCTAAATCCACCGCAAAACCAACAAAAACTCAAGATTTTTTGCAATCCAGCAAAATTCTTAATTCAAACGCAAAATAATCACAAAAAATGTAAATAATCTCATAAAATATAAAATTCCAAACTATATTATCAAATTAGATGTATTTTTGTTTGCATCTTATTGATTTACATGACTTATAGACGTTTAATGTGCATCAAATCGATAATTATTTTGCTTAAGTCTTTCCCTGTCATTGACAAATTTTTACGGCAATCTGTGTTTTAGGTGTTTTATGGTAGGGGAAGCCTTAACGCATGTCCCGAGATAGATAAATGAAGACAGAATCTCCAGGAAGTGAAATTTGAAAGAGAAAGTAAGATCGTGGATAAAAATAAGAGTTATACAACTTTCCTTAGGCTTAATCCCTATCGTTTTAGATCTTGTCTTGGCAAGAGGCCAAAATAAAGCTTTATTTTTACGATTTTATGATTTGTGTCATTATGTCAGATTGCACACTTGACATAGTAGGCTACCTAATATGTTAAATAGAATGATTCATTCATTTTCTTGTTAGCTTAGTCCCTTTATTAATCCAGGGTCGCCACAGCGGAATGAACCGCCAACTTATCTAGTACGTTTTTACGCAGCGGATGCCCTTCCAGCCGCAACTCATCTCTGGGAAATAAATAAAATAATAATAATATTAATAAAAATATATGAATAAGAATATATAAATATATATAAAAAAGAAAAACATATAAATGTTTTTATTAACTTATTAACATTTTCTAACTAATTAATATATTTTAAATAAATTGTCCATATTTCTGTGAATTACAACCACAAAATCAATCATTTTTAATTGCAAAAAAAAATCATGAAAAACTAGGGGGTCTGATATTTTAAGGCATGAACATTGCAGTCTTTTTTTAACTATACCTGAAGAACCATCTTGTGCAAGTGAAAAAATGGAAGTTCTTGCAAAACTGACATTTTTCCATTAGGTATATATATTAAGTTTCTATTCGCAATTTGAGTTTGCATACTTTGAAGGTTAATGGAAACCCAGCTACTGTGACAGTGCACTCAGCCCCTTGCTTAAGATTAGAAAATGCACAAAAATGGTTCCCAAGCTTTATTTTTTTAAATTAAGCATTTTGCAGTATTTTACCCAGTCACTTATATTATGTCAATGTTCATTCAGTCATTAGCCTTATTATTATTTTTTTTTACAATTGTCTTTTAATATTAGCATTAGATCAACACATAATTTATTTATAGATTTGAGTTTATGCTGTAGGTTGTCACAAAGTGGTTGATTTTACTATTGACCTTTATTAGCAGAACTGCCTTATTGCCGTGATTTATTGTAGAATTAACGTTGAAGTATAGGGACTCTGCTTCCACTGCTATATGATAAAAAAACATCCCTTCTTCATCTGTTCTGCTTTTTCCCCATCTTCACACAACATGAGGTGAGGAAACAATGTAATTACACCAATTTGCATGTGTTAATTGGATTAATTAGTGAATTGAAGAAAGAAGGGGGGAAGACTACAGGCATGTCCTCACAGACAAGGGCTTCTCGAAATCAGTGCACTTAAAAATAAAGTTTCTCCTTCCTTTACAAGTTGGCAAAACCTCGTGGTAGAGCTCTGATTTGAGAAACCGTTAATTGGCTTTTGAATATGTCAGACTAATTAGAAATGCGCAGTTGAAGCGTGGTCGGTTTGAATGCAAAGAGCTACTCGAATGGCCAAGGGAGTTTTTATTTTATTTTTTTCTGATTCACTAACCCCTCCTCTCACTTATCAAGATCTGGAGATAATTGCAATTAGGATCATTTGCATAAGTTAATGAATTTCTCTTCAACTTTCCTTAACGATCTCGAGCTACAGGATATTTCTAGAGTGCTGAATCGTAAGCACGTAGACGCGAGATGTCGGGATGCATGTCAAGGTGGCTGGGATTTATGAAAACCTCCGAGTGAGAATTTGGTTTGTAAATGATACAGCACAGATGTGACAATCTAATTGCCAAAACATTATATATAAGCATTCACTAGAATTCATTTACCACAGTGTAACTTTATTTTCAAGTAGTCTTTCCTGACTTTAGGCTATGGTTCCCCAAATATGTTTTCAGTGCGAGGGGTCTTCAGAAAATATGTCTGAATGATCTAATGCAATGGTTCTCAAAGTTGGGGTTGCAGGTCAATGATGGGGTTGCTTGGTGATATAAAAAAAGTCAAATAAATTTTATTAAACGATTAGAATTATCATATTTTGATTATAACCCACAGAAGATAAAAATGATAGTTCTTAATAGTAAATGAACAACAACATAAAAATGAAAAGCCATCAGCCTTTAAATGATTTTTTTTTCACAGGATTGGTGTATTTACATTAGATTAACAACAACACACTAAGGTCAGCAGCAGCAAGCGGGATTTTATAGCATTAGATTAAACTTCCTGACACCTTTATGGCAATCAAATACATTAACAATGAACACAGGCCACAACTGAACATTAAGAATGATCTTTGATTAGTGGTCTCCAAAACTGAACCAAGAATAGGCTTGTGCTGAAAACATTGTGACCCCCAGTCTCTTTAGCGGAGGTTGATATTAAATTATACAAATGAAAAAATGACCAAAAAAAAAACGATATGATTGTTAGACTGTTGCACTTTTTTGTGTTGTCAATATGTTCATGTTTATATAGGCCAATTGTTGGGTGCTTAAAGATTGTATATTTATAACCACCTCCGATGAATGAGGGGGTTGCAAGTCACTAGCATTGTTACTTTAGGGGTCGCGGACTGAAAGTTTGAAACCCCTGATCTAATGTACATTGTCCCTCATGCATACACTGAAAAAGACAACAATTTGATATTTACCAATTTTGCAGTGTGTATCTAATTTTCACTGGCAGTGTTCTGTATACATTTATTCTTAAAAAGAAAGAAAATAAAAACATAATGTATTGGATACAGCCAGATGTGTGTGTATTTTAGTGTCTGCGTCAAATTAAATTTACAAAAGTTTATTTTTTTGATACATGAAAAGCATAATAAATGCAAGTAAAGTCTAATGTTGCAAATAACTTTGAGAATGAAATGTGTAATTAAAAAGAGTGAAATAATGTTCCAGTGACATTGAGCACAATATAGATTTGTTTATATTAAGTAGCCCTTTTCACACATGCAGGCTGCGACTATGTCCGAAATCACATACTTCAATACTATTCAATTATTCATTTTCTTTTCGGCCCTTTATTAATATGGGGTCAGCATAGCGGAATGAACCGCAATCTTATTCAGCACGTTTTTACGCAGCGGATGCCCTTCCAGCTGCAACCCATCTCTGGGAAACATCTACACACACTCATTTACACTCATACACTACGGACTCATACACTACGGACAATTTAGCCTACCCAATTCACCTGTACCGTATGTCTTTGGGGGATACGACCTAACAAGAAGCACTGCTTTAAATGATCTTTTTTCGTGCCATGTATTTAAAATAAGGAAAAACATTTTTTTCCCCAGTATTTTAAATGGAGTTTTTGCGCTAGCCTGCTGCTAATGGCGGCGCCTGTGTTTAAAAGGTCTTTCGTCTCGTTTTATGCTTGAACAACTAAATAAATGCTTAAGTCTATTTAACTGAATGTATTTTAATTACAGCATCGATGCTGTAAAAGGAACCTTATGAAATTGAAAATAGTTAAATTAACCTTTCACCAGAAGTTCATCATTGGCTGTGCACATAGTTCATTGAATTGTATGTGTGAACAGGCTCTTTTTAAAAAATATCAGGATATTTTCAGGATATTTACTGCTATCACTGTGTAAAAGGAGCTAATAATATTATTATCCGCTCTGCTCTAAAAAAAAATTATTTAAACATTTTTTGAAATAAATTATATAAAATCTGTAGTATAAATATGTAAAAATTACAATTTATATGTATTTTGGGGCTGCACACTTTGATTTTTGCTCTAAACATGCCTGACTAGGCTTTTGGGCTATTTCTATTTTAGTACTCAATAACATTTTAAATGGATGTCTTTAGTAAATCATGGCAAAAATGAGTTTTTGATCATTGAAAACACCTATTGGTCTTTTCCCCATATTATCTCCACACACAGATTCTTATCCGTTTAAAATTACACAGTGTGTCCTACGAAGCAGAGCATAATTTCTGAGTGTGATCTAACCTCCGACTTTTAATACCCCACAAACAAGCACAGAGTTCTTCAATGTGAAAAGTCACAGCTGGCTTTTACACCCCGTACCCAACACATCCACATCCACATCCACCAACAGCCATAATGAGGCAAACTTGGCTTCCATTTTTCTCATAAGAAAGGCGAGGGAAAGGAACATTTTTTATTAATCGTAAAAGTAAATTGGGAAGGAACACCTTGTGATTGCAGGCCAAAGGTAGTTGAAAAAAGAGAGATGGGTTTAATTAGCTAATTAAATAAACAAGATACGAGGGAGTTCAATGCCAAAAAGCAATTACCAGAGATGCCATAATGAGAAAACTTTTCAAACCTCGGCAAATGAGATCAGAAAGAGGCAGATTTAGAAGTAGTAAATGAAATCTAGACATGAAAGAAAAGGGTGGGAATGTAACGTTCATTTTGTAGCGACGTTCACAAAGATGCACAAGACCTCCCTTTAGCGAGATCCACAGACTGAAATCACGGCAGGAGAAAGAGAAAGCGCCAGCTCAAATGCCTTTCATTACTCTCTGTAATGATGCAGACACAAGGGTTTGTGTTGAAATCTGGAAGGTAATGAACCATGTTTTTTTGGCCAAGGACTATTGGAGAGCCGTCTCGACTTCCAATGAGTGTCCAACACACCAAGCCAAAACCATCAAATATTGATGTAGGCAGAGCAGAGACGTCAAGACTGCATTTTTGATGGTTATAATTATTTAATTAAGTACTTTTTTTTTCCTTTACAGATATCTTACTTTTGAACGTCCCTCTTTTTGAACAGGGGACACAAGGAAACAGGTCAACCACTGAACACAACACACAACAGCACATGAAATATGTACAATTTTACTCTCCATCTCCTTCATACTCTCAAAAGTCTTGGCAGACACTGAATAGCAGTCTCTATTAGAGAATATGCATACAGATTTATTTATTCTACCAAACCATTCAGGGGGAGGAAAAAAAAAAACATGCCGTTTCCTCATGAGACCAACTCTTTCAAAAAGAGCTCTTCGTATGTCTTAAACTCGAGTAGACAAAACAATACATGTTCACGTATCTGTACTGTGCATGTGTACGATTACTTGCTAATAGGAAGTAAATGACAATGGAGGGAAAACCGGAAGTAAAAATGTTTTTAGGCACCAAAGACGACAGAACATGTTCAAAAAAAGGAAGGAATAAACTTACACTTAGAGTGAAAAGGGCCTGTAAACAAAAGCAACAACCACTGAAAAAGTCTTTTGATATATGGATGTCGTTTTGAGGGCATAAAGTAAAAACCATCACCATCCGTAGTCCAAAATGTCAGGTGATGTCCACAACATTTCTTGAGAAACTTCTCAAAAGGGAACAAAATGGTGTTGAGCATCACCCCAGCTTTAAAGAGCTGCTCTTGAAAATGAGTCTAAGGCTTTCAGGGTCAGGGCATCCCAGCCATAACCACAGACCGCATCTGAGGGAGTGCGTATGATTATTTTTAGCTTCCGTGTCTTTCTTCGACTTGATTACGTTTTCCCTTGTCAGGGGTGATTGTCTCACAAGTGACTCACAGTACTTGCGTAGTTCTGAACTCTTTTAAGGTGGCTGGATGCGCAGAAGTGGGCAGAAGGTCTCGGGTGAAGGTGGACATTCACGAGGAGAGATTGGAGGGAAGATGTGAGGAAAGGACTGAAGAGAAGGCACACCGCAAATAATAAATCCAGATTTCCTCAGCACACCTGTGTAACAAGATCAAGTAGCTAATTAGTTTTTTTTCCCCCATCATCCGGTACATTGACAAATTTTGTAATGCCAGTTGAGAAAGAGCTGTGACAAAAAAGCTTCTAATATACTCAAATTCTTTCTCAATTGTAGTTTAGAGGTAAACAGCAGTACATTACAACTACAGTGTTAGTAAACATACATTTTTCACCCACATTGCTGAGAGCAACTTTTAGATGATTATGTAAATATGCAAGGGTTATTTGCTCTCAATGATAAAACTGTACAACTAAAATGGCAGCTGTGAGAAAACAGCAGATAAGAAAGCATCTGATCATAGTTCATTCGATTATAACTACACTATAAGTATAGTTTAAAGCAGCTTATCAGGGTTTTTCCAAACAAGCCAGAGGAAATGTATCAGAGAATGCAAAAAAACTCAGACTCTTGAGCCTCAGCACACACCTACTTATTGCACTCACTCACAGTGGACCATCTGTAGTTTGAAGGTGTTTATAATCCAGAGTAAATGTCTTTAGAAAGTTCACTTTCGCAAGTTGTTTTAAACTCCTAAAATGAACTTTAGTTTGCCTGATACGGTCAATTCGTTATTTTATTTTGTTACTACTGAGTATATCTGGGTTAAGCTTGAATGACTTTGAGAAAAAAATCTGATCAAAATTGCGATTTGCAATTTAAAATGTGATTTACTATAATTTCCTAAAAGCGCTGCAGGTTTAATGTGGTGGTTTTAACAGCATGAAAGAAAGACCAAGCATAATCACAAAAAACACTACACTATGCTACTGTTTATTTAAAACCATTTTTCCAAAAAAGTTGTCAGTTATTATGACAAATTAAAAAAACAACTACAGTATATATTTCAAACCTTTTAAACCTTTTCATTTAGACTGATATTAATTTCATGACATTACAGTGAATTAACAATGCTTTCTATAAACAATTTTAGATATTACTTTAAATCACAAGAATTCTTGAATTAAAATGCTAAATTTAAAAATAGATTTATATTTATATATTATTTGTAATACAATTTTGTACAATTTTTTTAATACAATTTTGTCCAACAAGCAGTCAGATAACTGAACTGTACCTTTAATTTTACCTGCTCAAAGAAAACACTTTTTGAATGCATCAAATTCAAGTACATGAACAGAACAACATGCGTTTTTATAGCAAATAAATAAATATAAATCTCCCATTTGCTTTTTGAGCATTGTCGAGCGAGTTCTGAAACACCTGTGACTGGTCATTGTGTTCCCGCCCTCAACAGAAAGGTCTGCGATTGGTTCTAACGGTCAGTGCGGCTCTGTCGTTTTTTACCGATGAGTGAGGTGGATACGTGGTTACAGTCTATAATGCATGGTTATCACAGCTGATCCATGATAGCCACGCTGATCCACAAGTATCGCTGTAACAGCCGAGAGAGCAAAGGAAACTTTATCTCACCTACACACACTTCAAATTGGGATTTCAGTTTCAAATCGATTAGTTGTGCAAGCCTAATCAGGGTGTTAATAAGTTTGCAGAATTTTTATTTTTATTTTAAATCAGTTGTTAGTGTTTGTATCATACCTTTTGGTCGGGCAGCAGGGTGTTGCTCTGCAGGGGGGTCAGATGACTACTGAGCAAAGCTCCACCTGGTCGATCATGCTCACAAAAAATGGTGCCGTTGACATAGTGAAATCTGTCACCAGGAACCAAGCGATTTCGGCAAGTGGCACAGGTAAAACACTGGAGGAGAAAAACCAAGCGATGTAATTTTACTCAAACTCATTTAGCAAAACAAGACAATCTTACAGCTGGAAATCAATTGGAGTTGAGATGACAGAGAGGTTTTTATGGTATATTGGTGTGCATCCAGTTGAAATGGATAATCAAAAATATATTGCTGGGATTTCTTTCACTCGGTTGTTTAATGGATTGAGTGCAGGCTTATAGACAATTGCATGAGAGTGAGGAGCAATGTTTAAGTGGAAGATCACTGATGGTTTTTTAGATGTAAAAATGCCAGTATCAGTATTTAAAATAAAAAAGACACATATCCATAGATGACTAGTTTATAATATCAACAAGCTTCATTTACTGAACCATCAAAATGAGGGGAAATTTCATATAAATAGTTTCCCACTACTGAAAGACCAGCACATATGGTACATCTGCATTGTTTGGAAAAATCTATTACACTTGAAGCTCACATTTCTTCAGATGCTCACAAATTAGAAATTTTGTCAGGATGTAGTTACCCAATTTTGAGAACTTATGCAAACATGGACCACTGGGAAACCAAACTGCTCCACTCAGCTTAATCAGGGAATGGTTTCCTTTTTCCATCAAATATTATTAAGACAGGTTGACACCTACACCACTATAATTAAGGAGGAATGTGTGGCGCAGTTGGGAAAATGGTTAGTTGATGAGTTTCGGTAGGCGTCTCATGAGACTATTCTGATATCCGTGTTCAATGACTGCAAGACTTCACCTGACAATTCATTGAAAAATCAAGTTTCCCAAAAAGAGAGGATACTTTGGGTTTTTATAGATGTTTTTACTACAACCAAATGGTAATAAAATATTAAGGAAAAACAAATATGTTAATACAGTGTTAATTCCTCAGATTCTCACTCTGGAGACATGGGATGTGGATCCAGGTCATTGTTTTGCAAGAATCACATATTTTAATCTTACAACTTCTCAGCCTTAAGGGAGCAGCAATACAATAAAATGTCAACAATCTGACTATAAAACATTGACTCAAGCTTATGTTAAGCAAACCCTGCTGGTTTACATGCTGATGTCAAAGAGAATTAGGTAATTGCAATGTACAAAATTTCCCCCAATGTTTGAAACTGGTTAAGAAATTGCAACCATACAAGTTAGAATGTTGCATAAGTCTTTTATTTTTGCAATGTAATTCTGAATGACAATGTGATGTCATTTGAAGCCAAATGCAGTAACCACAAATAGTCAAAACGTAGTTAATAAATCCTCCTGTGACAGACTGACAGGCTTAGCTTATATTTTCTCAGATTCAACAGTGTGAAATTTCTGAAGCTAGTCACATTGCTGTGTAGGGTAGTACAATTGTTTTGTTCTTCTGCCTCATGCATTACACCTTATTTCAAGTCCAGAATGAAAAAATAATTATAGTGTTTATCAAATCTGTATAGACAGTTAAGTTTTATGACTAATATATTATATTACTCAACTAAACCATCTCAGCCTGAGGTAAATACATTTTGGAAGTATTAAGATCTATTCTCGGATAACGTGAAGTGCATCCAGGTTATCGAAAAAGATGGGGTCTAAGATTAAGGGTGCGCTCATACTTGTGGTTCGCATGTTTTTGTTCTTTACTTAGGACAAAAACAAGAAAAAAAAAAACTTTTTTGATAATGTATGTTTTTTCTTATAAATAGTTTTTGCTTTCTCCTAAGTTCCCTTTGTTATTTTTAACCCTTTCACATGTGAGTTTTAAATACTCCAGCTGACCCTCTTGCATGAGTTTTTTTTTGTGACCATTACTTAGAATCGATTGCATTCTAAAGTTCCCATGTTGACACTTCAAGTTTATCATGAGACCCACCAGCCCCAATGATCTATGTATATGTTGTATTTTGTTTCATTTTGCCCTTTTCTGTAAATATTGACAAATGTTCTTATTATACTGTAAAATTTCTGATACTCTGATTCTCAAATATGTGATAGAACATATATTTTATATTTTAAACAGGTTAGTAATGAAATTATTATTTTTGTTACATGATAGGTAATGGGCACTGCCATTGTTGCTAGAAGGCATACATCTGCGATTGGAAGTTAACAAGAAGTATTAATATTTTTTTATTAAATTATTATTAATAATTAATTAAATAATTATTAATTAATAATTATTAATGTATTTTATTAGCTAAAATTGTATTTTATTAGATTATTATATATTGACGGAAGTATCCTTAGCTTATCGCATCTAGACTTCACCCTCTCCTGCAGCTCGGTGAAGTCTAGATGGGATACAGCTGAGACTACTCATGTCAATATAGCATAATTTTTGTGACGCTATACAACAAATACAATTTTTACATTTCTATAAGGGTTGGGTTTAAGGTTAAGGGAGGGGTAGATGCTAATAAAATACAATTAATAGCTAATTTAATAAATAATATTAATACTTCTTGTTGATCTCAGTTGTATTTCTTCGAGCAACAACTTCCGATCTCAACTGTATCCCTTTTAGCATCAACCACAGGAGATCCGAGCTGCTGGATTTACATTGTTATGCTGGATATGTTTGTTCATAATATTCTGCGGAAATGCATGAAGGTAAGCAACTGTTTATCTGAAAGGAATATAGAAAATATTTTAGCAACATAAACAGTGTGTATCTTATGCAAGCAAAGCACATTGTCCAGTTATATTGAGAAATAGTTATTATTGCCGTCTCCATAGACAGCCGCATGCATTGTACGAACTTTAAGTGGTATGTTTTGTTTGTAGTTATGTGTATTCGAATGTCTGAAACCTAAAATAAAGGTTATTTGTTTGGAAGCACAGATAAATTGTGATTTATGATAAGCGCTGCGCACCATCAGATTTGAATTTTAGCTGTTGATGATGTTCAGTCTGAACGTTCCAATAATACTGGTGTGATCGTACACTTCAGGGACCAACTGAGGCTAATCACACCGGTGTGATCCTACACATGAAAGGGTTAAAAATGGAACTTAAAAAAATGAAAAAAGGCTTACATGAGATAAACTAAACAAATATCCAAAACAATGCGAAGTACTGGGCTAAACATGTTTGTTGACTGCGTACATGTAATACTGTTTATCAGTTGAGAACTTATGAATAGGGTTGGGTACTGCAACCTTTGGGACCGGTATGCACTGGATCAAATCATCATATGAATTTCGGTGCCTAATTTCGGTGCTGTAGCAAGAACATAAAGCAGGTCGCAGCAGAAGCGCAGCTCGGCAACGCACAGCGACATGAATTCGCAAGTCAGCAGCGCCCAAGCACGACTCATGACTGTTCATATTTCTGCCATGCCACAGAGCGCTATCTGAATAGTTTCATTTTAAATAAAATGCGAATGTGCACGTCTGGTTTGTGATCAACGGTCATGTGCGCGCCGTGCTGCGGCTCGGAGCGGCGCATCTGCTGACGCCCTTAAGAAGCACAAAAGGGTGCGTTAAAGGCACATGTAAGTAAGCATTGTGTCACACTATCTCTAAATGTTTAATTCTACAGCTTTGAGGGATACGGATATCTGCGATGTCAGGCGTTGGTTATTGTTACTTACAAAAGGCAAAGCGCGCAATATGAGCGACTCACTTCATTAACTCGCATGATCGCGTTCATCTAATTAGCTTAAACTAAGTATTCTAAAGTATGGCTATATTTTACAAGCAAGAATTCTGACACACCAATATCAGTGGTGTAAAGTAACTAATTACAAATACTCAAATTACTGTAATTGAGTAGTTTTTCTCAGGAATTGTAATTTACTAAGTACTTTTAAAAATGTGTACTTTCCCTTGAGTACAGTTTTAGTGCAGTAATCAGTACTTTTGCTCCACTATTTTTCTTCAACCTGCCGTTACTACTTTATTTTTTCTTGTCTATGGAGATTAGGAAAATCAGTCCTGTGATTCCTGTCCAATCAAATCTCACATAGAAGGTAAATCGCATTATAATGAATCACATCAAAATGGGGTTATCAAAAGAAATTTATTAATGCAATTCAAATATTTAATATATGAATTGATGTTTACTTTAAACTTATTATAAATATATATTTATATTGTTTAGTTATAATGTTTAAAATATTTTTTTGTCAAATAATTTTGTGGCTAAAAAGTATCGGTTCAGGCACCGTTTTGGCACCGGTACGGTTTTAAAAGTATCGATTTAGCACCGGTATTGAAATAGCCCCAAACGATACCCAACCCTACTTATGAACAGTTTATAAATAGGTCAAAACAACACCAGAAATTTCCCTGTCACACACACACAAAGATCTCCGACAAGAAATTTATCTTCCAAAGTGCAGCTATGACCCCAAAAAAAAAAACATGTAAGCTAGAGCATTCTGTCCTTTTTGTGGGCGCGTCTTGTAACATCATGTCCCGTTTTGTTTTATTTAAAGGTCTTTGATTTATTACGTTCATATAACCGTTCAGTGTCAAATCAAACCTGCCAAATATGAACACATGCAAACTGGTTGAAATATTAGGTAAAGTTGGACACAGTTTTTTCAGCAGGAGATAGAATTGCGTTTTGTTTAAAAATGTAAAGCTCTGAAAGATAGAAAAAAAAAAAACATGCACAGATGAATCTTTTATATGTCTGTTTTTTTTTTTTTTGTGGACACTGTGGCTCACCTTTAGATGGTAGACGTTACCCTGGGCCCTCATCACCATCTCACTGGCAGGAATAGACTGTCCACACGCACTGCAAGCTCCACTGTGACCAAACAACCTGCATTGTTGAAGGGGGAACAAACAACAATTAGTTTATACATGAACACTGAAGTTACAACAGAGCAGTTATAAATAAGTCGACATGATTTATAAGGACCAAAATGAGTGGCATTCTCATTTAAAGGATGAAAACTGTTTACCATATGGCAAAAACACACAAATCATCCTGATCTACTTCTTAGCACTGCACTCGAAGGAAATTTAATTTTTACGTCTCGAAGTTGGAGCGTTTTGCGATGTGTGTGTTTGTGTATGCGTGGCTTAGATGGCAGGGCACCAAAGCCCCTCTAGTCCTAGACTGCAGCCTATCAGCTAATCTGGAGTGGCAGTGTAATTGGTGGCAATGGGTGGGGGGTGGCTATAGGAGCCTCTGATCCACCCTTGGCTCCTAATTAGGGAGCACTTGATTACTCCGCTGCCTGAGCTTGAGGTTGTTATGGGCAATTTTAGGAGAACACTCAAATGAGTTCAAGTCGTGCTCTTGATGAGCTGAAAGAAAAAAAAAAATCATCAACAAACTCGGTCGTCCAGAGATAAAACCCAGATGCACACAAACACCATGCAACATACACACACACGTTGCATACACACAAACAAGTTGTTTTCATTCAGAACACCTGGAGCCCCCACCACCGTGTCACAGTCATGTTTCAGTAGGAAACATTTCTTCCGCTCCCTCTCTGGGGTCTTTATTGTGACGGTAAGCAGATCGGTTTGGCAGCTAATTCTCAGCCCCTCACTTTCTCCTCTTCTCCATGGCCTCTTTCTCTCTCAACCCCTCCTCCGCTATCACTGTCCCAGCTCTGACTGCTCGCAGTAATGAATTTTTGATCTTAATCCAAACAGTAATTTAATAAGAGACGGCAGAAAGGAGCCCTGTTCTCCCTAATTAATGCACCCTACTTTTATCAGACCTCAGGCTCCACGCTGTGTCATTTGGTAATGAAGCTCTGCCCTTTTGATTAGCTGTATTATACATATTTAATACACTGCAGATTGAGTACACCTTACATGCACTCTTTAAGGAAATATCCAAGAGACTACCCTTGACATGTCTAACATGTGCTGAGTTAGAGTGCTGTAAAAAGAAAAAAAGAAAAAGTGTCCCTTTCTCACTCAAGTCATTATATAATCCAAAGTTGTCATAAAACAAGAACTGATTATATGGTGTAGATCATTAGCCACTTCTTTTCTCTTAACCCTCTGGGACTCTTCAGTTAAAACTGACAATTTTTTCTTTAAATAGTAATGTTTTGAATTGACAATTTTTTGCTTCATTAGAATGGGATGACACTTGGTGAATTCTGTCGCATTAGATTTGTGGAGAAAATAGACGTGATTTGGAAAAAGAAAACTTGGTATGTTTGCAGTCAAAAAATGGCAAAGATAGCGAATACATGGGAAATAAGACAAATAAAATAAGATTGAGAATGTTTTTGTAGATCAAACTAGTGTTGCACAATATATCGTTTCTGCATCGACATGGCATTCTGCGCATCTGCAATAGTCACATCTCAGGATGTGCAATGAGTTGGTGTTATAGTTGACCAGGAGTTAGAATAATAGTTGACCATAGTTCAGAATACATGAGACTTTTGTGTATAACAAAGGGAGTAAAGGTTTATCATTTGTCTGTGTCTTTAAGGTTTGTGACTGTGTGAGCATTTCTCTTTAAAAGCTTAAAGAAGTCAGGCACAGGATAGTACACTGCATTTTATTGAATCATTTTTATTCAATCAAGATGACTATTTTACATTTCATTATTCAATTTCTGTACTGAATACTGTTTTAGTCCACAGAAAACCAAAGCACTGTTTATTTAATTTATTTATTAAGCTTTATAAGTGACATGGTGGCTCAGTGCTTAGCACCGTCACCTCACTTCAAGAAGGTCACTGGTTCTAGTCCCAGCTGGGTCAGTTGGCATTTCTGTGTAGAGTTTGCATGTCCCCGTGTTCAAAGTCCAAAGACATGCACTTTAGGCAAATTGAATGAAGTAAATTGGCTATAGTGTATGTCTGCTTGCGAGTGTGTATAGATGTTTCCCAGTTCAGTTCTGGGTTGCAGCAGGAAGGGCATCCTCTGTGTAAAACATATGCTGTTTAAAGTTGGCGGTTCATTCTGCTGTGGCGACTCCATATGAATAAAGCAACTAAGCCGTAGGAAAATGAGTGAATGAATGAATAAATAAATTTAGCTTTATTGAAATTTATCTAATTTGTTTACTTTTTTCTATGCATGATTCACTTCCCTATTCCAATCAATCTTAATTAATGATTTTTTTTTTCAAATAGAGCTTTTCATGCCATCTGATGAAACTGTATTCATATAGTTTCAGTATATTTCAGATTATCAAAATATCAGATTTTTACAATATTGTGCAGCCCTGGTTCAAACTAGAATCAGCCATAAAAAACTGCATATAATTACATACAAATCTACAAGAATTTAAAAAATTTATAATAAAAAAAAATTATTTCAAAGTACATTAAGACTTTTAATTTAATTAATGACAATGACTAATATTATTATTAAAGATTAATATTATTACTATTACTACTACAATGAAATATATAATTTTACAATTTGTATGCAGTTAATTTTTATTAAACAATTTTATAAGCTAATTTTAATAGTAATAAATAATTTTAAAAAACATGAATACAACATGAATTAACAGTACTGATTATTATTTACTGGTAATATTTACTAATATTTAGTTTATATCAATCTAAAATGTATAATTCTCCAAATGTATAAATTATAAGCGAAATAATAATGCAAAAAAATTGTATGTTAAATGAGTTTGTAAATTATTACATGTATTAATATTAATAAGTTATTATAGAGCTGAAGTGAGAATTATTTTTCCTTTTTTTTTTCTTTTTCTTTTTTTTTTATATTTCCCAAATGATGTTTGACAGAGCAAGGAAATTTTCACAGTATGTCTGATAATATTTTTTCTTCTGGAGAAAGTCTTATTAGTTTTATTTCAGCTAGAATAAAAGCCGTTTTTAATTTTTGAAAAGCCATTTTAAAGACAATTATTAGCCCCTTTAAGCTAATTTTTATTTTAATAGTCTACAGAACAAACCACTGTGAAGCAATAACTTGCCTAATTGCCCTTACCTGCCTAGTTAACCTAGTTAAGCCTTTAAATGTCACTTTAAGCTGTATAGAAATGTCCTAATATCTAGAAAAAATATCTAGTCAAATATCATTTACTGTCATCATGGCAAAGATAAAAGAAATTAGTTAATGAAAATGAGTTATTAAAACTATTATGTTTAGAAATGTGCAGAAAAAAATCTGCTCTCTGTTAAACAGAAATTAAGGGAAAAAAATAAGGGGGCTAATAATTCAGGGGGGGGGGGGCTAATAATTCTGACTTTAACTGTATGTACGATAATAATTATTTTGCATTTATTTATTTTATGTCAAATATTATGTACATTTTCAGTTAGCCGAGTAATTTACTTTTATGACAGGTCTGCATTTTTTCTTCCCTTTTTTTTAGAGCCAGTGAGATTGTTTGACTTTTGAGCAACCATCTCTGGCACTTATACAGCAAATACGCACACGCACACACACACACACACACACACACACACACACACACACACACACACACACACACACACACACACACACACACACACACACAGTGTGGTAATGCCAAATAGTTAGATATCCCTGGTTTGGGTCCAAACAGACCAGTGTGGGTCTAACAGGCAACAATGGCGTGCCGTCATGGACCAATGCATCACTGCACACATCCAAACACACAGAGGTCAATTTCAAAGCCTCAGCGATTATAAACAAATCTAATCTCCTCACCTCTGGAGCCTTCAGCTCAAAATATACAAGGGAATACAGGCCAAATTCAATCAAAAAGCTATGTAATCATCATACAGACATACAAGCAATCATAGACCCCAGTGAAAAATGCCATTAAAATAAACGAATGGTTTTTAGAGTTTGGAAAACAAGGTTACGGTTGTTTTGTAGACTGGTCAAAATTTATGACAGAATGACAATTCTGAGAAGAGTTTTCATTTAATCATTGACTGTGGTTTGAGTCTAAAGCACTGTACGGCACATGAAAAACATGTGGGGAGTCTTTGAGGAATATGGCTGCTCCAGATGCCATGTTACAAGCACCCACACACTTCCTGTCATGATCGCTCAACTTTTTTGGTCCTGTTACATATTATTAAACGCTTTGTCGGATCCAAAAGATGACCTTATGACAGACCACCTTCCACATTTACCATGATATAATATGCTATTTTCAGAAAAAAATTCCTTGTTACACCTTCTATAATCTTTGTAATTACAATCAATTATGATTAACAGAAAATTATATAGTGGGCGGTGCAGTGACACAGTGGGTAACACTGTCGCCTTACAGCAAGAAGGTCACTGGTTCCAGCCTCGGCTGGTTCAGTTGACATTTCTGTGTGAAGTTTGCATATTCTCCCCATGTTCGCGTGGGTTTTCTTTGGGTGCTCAAGTTTCCCCCACAAGTCCAAAAGCACATGCTATAGATGAATTTAGTAAGCTAAATTGGCCGTAGCGTATGTGTGTGAATGAGAGTGCATGGATGATTCCCTGTGCTGGGTTGCAGCTGGAAGGGCAGCTGGAAGCGCTGTGGCAACCCCCAATTAATAGCGGGACTGAGCCAAAAAGAAAATGAATGAATGAATGAATGAGTTAATCAGACCCCCTAGTTTTTCACGATTATGTGACTGCTAAATCCAACGCAAAATCAACAAAAAAAAGTCACAAATTTTTGCGATTCTGCTAAATTCCTAATTAAACTAAAAATAATCGCAAAAGATGATATAATCTCATAAACATCAAATTCCAAACCATATAATCAAATGACATTTATTTCTGTTTGTAATTAATTGTTTTACATGACTAATAGACATTGCATTCGCAGCACACATGATGTATTAGTGTCTCTCGAAAAATTACATCTCACCTGCACCCTCACAATCCAAACATTACATGGAATAGGGGGCAGGGGAGTTTTCAGCTTGTGCAGTAAGCAGACGCAGATGATGCGCAAGTGATTTACATGTGAAGTCATAGCAAAGATGAGATATAGACATCTTTTGGCATGAATTGGGCGTTTTGTGCATTTGACACGCTTTGGACTGCAAAAGAAAGTTGAAGCAAACGGAGCAATGGAACAGACAGGTGGAGATGAGATTGATTCAAGGGTAACGGCTGATGGACGTGACCGAATTGAAGTACATTATTTTTTGCTTTAGATGTATGGCTGGTATTATGGTGTGCGTCAAATCGATAAATGATTTCGTTTAACTCCTTCCCTGCAGTTAACGAGAGAAAACGCTTCCCTGTCATTGCCGAGTTGGAGTACAGCAGTCAGTGTTTTAGGTGTATTAAGGTAAAGGAAGCCCTAACGCATAGGTCTCAAACTCAATACCCGGAGGGCTGCAGCTCTGCAGTTTTGCTCCAACCCTATCAAACACAGCTGATCCAACTAACGAAAGTGTTTATGACTCTTTTGATGTGTGACGATGTCAAATGCTCTGAGTATGAAATCTGAGAAAAAGTAAGATTGTGGATAAAATTAAGAGTTATACAACCTTCCTTTGGCTTAATCTCTACCATTTCAGATCTTGTATTGACAAGAGACCAAAAAAAGAAACTTTATTTTAATGATTTGTGTCATTGTTTTGGATAAATACAGATAATATTTAACATATACATGTATATATATATATATATATATATATATATATATATATATATATATATATATATATATATATATATTTTTTTTTTTTTTTTTTTTTTTTTTTTTTTTTAAATCGCAAAATTGTCTGCAAATTTCTGGGATAAATTCCTCCATATTTAACACAATTTTTTTTACTTATTCCCCTAATGAATATTTAAATGATTGTATAGATGTGTACAATTTATAAAATAAAGATGAATATCACTAGACAAAGAAATTATTTATTAGTTTGAGTCAAGTCCATCCACAGATTTCCTGTCCTGCTTGTGTAATGTTAAGACTGATTCTGTAGCCGAGAACATCATTTATTCACTCTTACTCAGCATTTTCTACATCAGTCCCGCCAAACCCCCCAACTGCCTGTTTCTTTTAGTACCTGATGTAATCGTTCCTGCAGAGGATCATCCCTCCTTTGCTGAAGCAGGTGCTGCCGATCTCTCCCAGCTGAGCCTGGCAGCAGGAGCACTTGAGGCAGCGCGTGTGCCAGTACCGATCCATAGAGAAGAGCAGAAAGCGGTCCGATATCCGACCACCGCATCCAGCACAGGAGCGTACGGCCCCACCACTGCCTCCTGTTACCGCAACCGCGGAGCTTTCCACACGACTGTTCACCATTGCCTGCCTGCGGGACAGAGAGGAGACGCTCGTAAATCAGCAGATCCAGAGGCAAAGTTCCACCACTATCAGAAGATCAGCCATTAGAGATGCTCCCCCAAACCTCTTCAAATAAATCACCATAATACATTCTCCTCATCCTTAGAGAACATAATAGCAGAATAATGGGACAGATATGACAGATATATTTCTCCCCATGTTACTAATTTCATTTTCAATGTCCACATGCAGAGACGAGAAAAAAATAAGCATAAAAATGCTGAATGACCAAATGGCATTATAACACATTGCTACATAATGTAAACAATTTTCCACAGGACATGACGGTGAGCAAGAACAGGAAAAGAACTGATTTAGTGGTACTTTATTTTCAGATGAACTGTAGTAGTCTTATGTTTACACTACTTATGCTGGTGGTTAGTTTCCCAGAATACACAGTAGGGTTGCACAATGTTGTTTTTAACTGTTTGCCAGGACCCACTCTATATTAAGTGTCAACAGTTACTGTGTGCTAACATTTAAATTAATCCGTTTGAAACCCTGCAGTTATAAGGTAGATACTGTACATATATTATTTGATTTTAATTAGAGCTGTAATTAATTCTGTAAATAATCTGTAATTTCACTAAACTACCACATAACCAATCCTTAAACCAAATATTACCCATACCACTGATCCTTCCCCTAACTGTATCTAACATAAATAGCAACAAAAGTGAAAGAGACTTCCTTGAGCACTCGATGTATGTCTTGGCCAAGTCTCAAGAATACAGACGTACACAAGGCCTATTCAGATAACAATCTTCTCTTCATACAAAACCCAGGTTCCACTGAAATTAATAAATGATAGTTGAACACTATCCAATAATATGTTAGACATTACACTAAACAATAAGATGATCAACACCTGCTAAACAAATCAATAAGAAATTAAAATATGACATTTTACTAATAGCAGTTAGTAATACTACATCGATCTGTATTAGTACACGTACAGGCATTCAAAATACTAGGAATGCTTAATATATCGGCAGTCATAACTTTATTGGCCGATAAATGCTATTGTTAATGTTATCGGTCTGACATCAAAATTAGGCCGATATCTTTAAGCCAATAGATTACATAATTGTACAAAACTGACTGCCCTGCGCATGCGAGGATCGATCATGTTCAGACTTGTCCAGTGCATTGTAACGGAGCTTTCCTCACATTGTTTATTCCTTCAAAGTCCATCCTTTCCTTGTGTGGTATTGCTGCAGTGCACGTGCGTTATATAATAAGTAACCATATTCCTCATCATCATTGAAGACATGTTTGAAAGAGTGTCATTAGCAATGTTTCAATCCAAAAATGTAAATTAACTATGTGCAAAACAGGATTACCGCTTAAAAGATGATAAAGCAGCGTTTCCATCCAACAAGCCTAAGCAAACCAAATAGTCACTTTCTGATTGACTGGCGCCAAATATCAACTGTAAAAACAGAATTAGCTGCGGTAGGAGAAGCTGCATGAATCTTTTCTTCATTTAATAAATGACGTGCACCTCAGAAGGCAATCCTGACACAGTGAACGTGTGGTTGTGTTTAAAGGCGTGAGACGCAGGGCACAGGTGCTCTTGGAGGTTATAAATAACAATAATACTGTAATGATTAAGGCATTTTAGAATGACCTAAACAACTTTTCAGATGTTTTACAGTGTGCTCAGCTGCTGGTTTGTACATTCACACACATTTTTATCATCACATGATCTCTTATAACAAAATCACATGACCTTTTTTAACGCACATACTGGAATTTGTTCGGTAAAAGTGTTTCCATCGCAGTTTCTCCAAATATTTTCTTATTGAATAAAAAGTTTATCCTACTCAGTTTTACGCACACATTTTTTTTATGCGCATCATGCCGTTTTTATCAACCGTTTTTTTATGCGCATATCCAAAATGTGCATACACATAGATGGATTGAAATATTGACATTGTGTATTTTTGGTTTTAATTGGTGAACGGTGACTCTGAACAGTCAAAACGCCACTCAAAACGCTTTATTTGACATTACATATTTGCACATATGTACATTACTGTAACACATTTAATTTAAGAACATTTGGGCTGGTTTCAGTTCTTAGAACTTTCATTTTCATTATATTTAGTACATTTTTATTTTACTTGTTTGTTAATTAGGCCCCATTTTGTTATTTAACCTATTATTTTATGCAACAGTCAAGGTGCATGTTAATTTGCTAAGCAAAGAAAAAGAAAAAATATATTTTTGGCATGCTGATTTATGTAAAATCGTGAGTATAGGTCTATAATCAACTTGCGATTTTAAAATTATTGCAAACTATTAGTAAACTATTAGAGTAGACTATTTTAATATAAGTTCAAACTTTTATGAAGGTTTTAAAATAAAATCAGTTGTTCACTGTATAAAAAACATAACATTTTGAAATATCTATATCAGCTAATATATTGTTTATCAGCCTCCAAATCTGAAGAGTTATCAGTTATCGATATCGGGCAAAAAAATCCATATAGGTGCATCCTTACAAAATAAGCATTTACAAGCGCAATGGTGTTATGAAACAACTCAAGAAGTTACACTTAAATTTATATTTAAAAAAAGGAAAAGTGCAATGTTATTACCACAGAACTATAATAAAACTCATGCTGCAGGCAATTCTATGGAAATGATGTAGTCCACAGATTTTTATATCTGCCTTAACATCATCAGTTTATATCTACATCTCATTTCCAGAACTTTCATTGCAAATACGAGTAGAGATCAAGCCCAGCTGGAGGCAGTGTGGCTCTCAAATGGCACTAACTGGAACCATAAGGACAGAAACTAAAGTCTGTTCCATTTCAGAGTATGCAATCTCAGAGAGTAAATGCTGATCAGAGGAACAGGCATCACATCTATATGGCATCTTGAATATAAGCACTAATATAGAATCGTATTTCCTTATCTGTATGAGGCTTTATAAACACCCTTGGTTTTACCACGGTTCCAGGTACTCATTGTACCATGTAAACTAAAATAGTTAAGAAATGGAACTCCAATGTATTGATTTTAATGATCGGTCCTAGATTGTAGTTGCAATGCCTTGTGGTAAACAGATTTCAACCGACACGGGAACTCAATCATGACACTAACCACTGTTAATGATGTTTTCCAATTGAAAGTGCAGCTGATTTGTCATTCCCTGTCTGATGATTTCAGTTCGAGCATGTTTTCACTTATGATGAGTGTGTTCCCTTGATGAGTTACTGTTCACCAGCCATTTCCCTGCGAGCAAGCACACTATTCCCGCTCTCAATAAACAGCCTCATGCAGAAGTTCCAGAAGGATGAATTCAGTGGAACCACAAACCCTCGTCACCACACACACTAGTACAGTTTTATGATGTCTAGCTTCAGGCCGACATATTACCTTTTCTAACATTGTCTAAAATAAGCATGAAGGCTGTGGTTTGGGAAGGTCAGAGCAACGTCCAACTAAGCAGAACGTTTAGACCTGCGGTGCAGTACATACGCTCAAACGCATAAGGAAACGCTTACACATTTCATTTCTAAAAATATTTTTGTATCACCACAATGTTTTTTTGTACAGACACAAAAGAGAGCTTCTCTGCTGCATTCAGAGAATCTCAGCAAAATCCTGTGTGGGGCAGACGGTGCAGTTTTCTCCTTTTGGGGAGGCAGCAGCAATGTAAGGAAGAGGCTTCGGACATCTGGCTGAGGCTATATCGCTTGTTATTTCCTCCCTCTGTTGTTCCGAAGTAGAGGTCGGTGGGCAGCAGACTGGAGACGGAGGCCAGGTTAGAGGTCACAACTGAGCCCTGTTGATTGCTAGGGTCGAGCAGAGGTCAAAAGAGGAGAGGAAAGCAACAGGAAGGCTCTTTGTGCTTTTTGCTCCAATGAGTGGGACTGCTTTCCTCAGGTCCTATCTGTCGTCCCAGCCTTGTGCCGGACATAAGATATCGGCTGCCACACACTTTCCCACAAACGGGAGTATAAACAGGTAACTTAGGCTCCTAGGACCCAAGAAATGAACATTTGTTACCATTGTCAAACAAAATTGTCGATACTTTCAAAATACCACAGGCTAACGAAAGACAGTCATACATGTTTTGAATGACATATGGCTCTTAAACGATGACAATTTTACATTTGGCGAAAACTGTCCATTTCAATGTTGGATGACCATGAAAGCACTTTATGAGAGTTATATTCAGCTGTGAATTTAATAAACTACTTTTTTAACATGAAACATAAAAATCAGTGTTCAGCAAAAAAAAAAAAGCAGGATATCTTGTGCACGTGTAGTTCACATTCTCCAACCTTCTATGCTAAAACTGGCCAAGCAGGTTTTCTACAACGCTTGGACAGCTGGGTTAGCATTTCCTCCTCAAACGGTTTGAGTGACATTTTGAGTATCCTGAAACTGACATGAACCTACATGCCTGAATTTTATTGCCGAATTTGCTCGGCACCAGTTTAAACCAATTTCCAACACCCTCGGTTCTAATCTTTTCATTTTTAAGTCAGAGCTAGGCATATTTGTAAGTCTTACATGAACTGCGAGTCTGATATCTTATTAAACACGTTGGGACCAGCTGTACAAGATTATAAACCTGAACCAAAAGTAAATTTATTCAGCGCTCCTACACAAACAGATTTGGCCTCAGGACTTTTTCTCCATAACTGACACCGGTAACAAGCACCATACATTGTCATTCCCGCACACCTGCAGAAGCGCCTTTCTAAAGCAGGTTGCCAAATAACTTTGAAACAGTTAATTTCATGAAAATGCAAATCCCCCATTTTTTAATCATCCCTTTCCTGCAGACCTGAGAGCGAGCGAGACAATGCTGCCGAATGGGACCCTGGGGGAATATCACAGGCTTTGAGGCATGGCTGTTTCAATACAGAACAATTACATTATCCCTCTAATAACTTAGGTAAGTTAATCCTTCACTGGAAACGTTTGGCGACAACCTTTTTAAAGCTATGAGGTTTAATGTAGTGTCTTATCACAGGGTACCAGGAGTTTGTCTAGCTATAGGCCTATATCTTTGTTGTGACCAATTCCTGACTTAAAAGGAAAACAAAATATGTACCGTTTAAGAGAAGTGCAGTTTATTTAAAGGTCAAAGCGAAGTTAAAGCAAAAAATGTGTGATTTATGCGCAAACATGGGTAGACTGATGCATAAATTAATAACAGTATTTTGTCATAAAAGCTCTGCAGATTATTTTTGACCCATTTAAAGAATGCCATCTTAGCACAATGAGCAACTTTACATTAGTAATAGATAGACACATGCGAAAAGCAGACGTTTTGAGTCGAGTATTCATGTTTTTTCCTAAACCAGAGGTTCCCAAAGTAGGGATCGTAGACTAAAGTTTGCCCAAGGTAACCTTTGGTTTGGCCCGCCATCCCATTTGAATGAGATGGAGGTATTTAATTGGAGCGAATGCCTTTGGCAGAGATCGTCATTTAGAACTTCTTTAATGTATACCCTTTTTTGTTGGTGTTTAATTGAGGATCTACAAAAAAGCCACCTAAAATTAAATGTTTCATATGAATAATACTTTTCCATCATAAATACTGTCACTTGACAGATGGAGGACAATGCACAAGACATCGGTGAGCAAATCAAGGCAAAGGCAGGAGCAGCTCAGCTAGTGTATTCAGTATTGAGCTCCATTGTGTTATAAATGAGATTATGTTCTTACTATAATACGTTGATTATAAAACGTTACAAATTACACTGCATCATCATTTAATATGTTTTAAAGCAACTTTTTCTAGTTATTTTTAAATAACTAGCAAACAAATTAGCTAATTTAATGTAATATGGTTTGGTATATTTAACTTCGGTCCACAGCCCTCAATAAAGTTTGGTTTTTGACACTTTATCAGAAAAAAAACAAGATTGAGCACCCCTGCCCTAAACGTATGAATGCACTGAAGAAGTCAACACAAGTACTGTTAAGTGAGGAGTAACTCTGGAAAAGACCAAACTCTTCTCTTTCTCTCTCGTTATTTAAACGCTGTCATCAGAAAGGTCAGAGAGGGGGAGGCTCGTTCAGTTCCACTCGACTAACGGGCTGATTGATGAAATAAGAGGCAAAAACAGAAGCTAATGAAGAGAAACACAATACCGTCGCTGTCCGAGCGCAGACTGATGGATTGGTGTCGGCTTGACGGAGCAAATGATGGCTCTACACCACAAGACAAATCACATATCATCAATAACAAGCCTAATGGTGTAGGAGACTTAAAAACACACTATTTTGTTTTACGGTTGCGCCTCAACTTTTCCTTTTGTTGGGCGGAACGATAGTGGAGAAGTCCCCGCGCGGTCACCATAGAAACTCCATAACGCGAGGACGCGTACAGTTTCGCGTTTTCAATAATTCACTAATGCAGTAACTGTGAATTTTTAGTGTCATAACACGTCAGTTAGGAGAACAAATAACTGCGCACAGGCTCAGCGTGAGTCGCTGATAATTAAAATAAATGAGCATAACACTATGGTTCTCAGCCTCTAAAAATAGTAGCGAGTCCAGTGAGCAAATGACCAAACCCTGGTTGGCACCACCGCAGATTAGCAGTATATCCTTCTCTTTTAATAATGCGCTCTGGGGCCATATAACTACACGCTTCGCCGTTTCATTAAAACGGGTCTCTTTTTAATTAACACTCCGCGCACAACTCCCCATTGTGCACAATTCTCCGCTCCAATGACAGCACACATCAAGGCTGTGTCTCAAAACATAGTGTGCTTCCTTGCTAGACTGCTTTTTTCATAGACACGAGATCAGTCAGGGTTCTTTAGGTTGGTAGCTTGCTATGGTTTGAGATGCAGCCATTGAGTTGGAGTTACTGTACAGAGAAGAAGCCGTTATGTCAAATCTAGCGTATATGTTAATGCAAAATAATCACCCGTACAAGTACAAATAACACGGAATATAATCTAAGATATATATTTTTGTCTGCCTCAACTAATAACTTGCAGTGTTATACACTATAAAGCGTATTTGTGGTAAACGTACAGTAAACTGCATAAGATGTATACTGCATTTGATAAAAGCTCCACCATTATGACAAATAAGTTAGCTGCAAAGTGCGGTAAAGAGAAACACAATGACAATTTATACGAGCATGCGTTATGATGTGCGTGTTTGAACACGCAGAGCTGTGTGGAAACAGTTAAAGCGGGAAGGCATCGAAACAACGGGACAGTCCATTACTCAAGGTGAATTTCAAAATGTTTGGTGATTAAATGTTCAACGCTCCTATGATGTTTTACTCACCGTTATTTGTACGTATCTCGAAGGTCAAGGGGTGCTGGAATCACTTCAGAAGTTACTGTGAGGTATCAAACAGTGATAAAGTGGCTGTCCTCAAACTTGTTTTGCTTTCATCCACCCCAAAACCGTTGAAGAAAATGCGCTTTTGATAATCCGAGAGCCTCGGTTCCAGAAACTTCAGAATCGTCCTTCTTGCTTGAAGAAGTGCTTTACCACAACCGTCAAACTCGCGTTTGAGTCGCGCTATTACACATTATCTTCGTGATGTTACCTTTAAACTACTTATTATAACCACTCGTTTCCTAACAGAACCTAAAACCTCCTACAAGCTGCAGAATCGTGTATCTGGCGTCAGTTTACGCTGAAATTACACATGAACGAGCAGGGAGAAAAATTTTAAAGTCACTCCTCTGGTGACGTGCCATAGGTGCAGCCCCCGCAGCCAATGAACGACGAGGGGGCGTGGCGTTTGACAGGATGATGGATTGCTGTTTGGGCAACTTAAAACTATTTGAAACTAATTTGAATTGCTCATAATCACCACGGCTGAGTTATGCTGAAATGATTTAAAAGCCGCCTTTATCCACAGCATTTACGCCTGCTCACGGTTGGCGTGTCACGTTTTCTTCTACTATTATGTGCGAACACAAATGGAGATTTTTACATAACATCAATCTAGAGTACAAATAAACCGACAATAGATGCAAAAAGAGAAGCCGTCCTAATAACAGATGTGTTCACGCGAGAGGCAAACAGGCAGCTGTTAAATTGAACACTAGCACGTGCTCTCACCTTATATTCGCCTCGTCTCTCGGCACGATGGAAGCTGCGAACATCTGGCCAAGATGGAAAGCCAATTACCTCTGGCGCCGTAAATCTTTATTTAACCAATGCAATACTGTCCAATTTGCCTTGATTTACCATTACAGGCTTAAATGAACTGGCCTTGGCCTCTCTCTTTACAGGCACTGCTACCACAATGTTCTGTTGTGTTAACTGCTAAACACACCTGCGAGGCAGAAGCTCGTTTTAACTGCTAATGGTAATAGCATAATGCGTCAACAAATGCAGGACATTTAAAAACTTTGTCTGTTTGTTCCAACAAAATACTGTCTGTGTTCACGATTTAAGACATGCATAAATGTATTTTTAGTTGCACATAACACTATTTTTGAATTAGATCTAGGCCTACATCTATTAATTAGTACATGTATTATTGACAGTTAGTAAGTATAATATTGACCATTAATTTGCATTCATTGTCTAAAACTTATAATGAAATCAAATCTTACCGAGAGTCCACATTCACAATGATGATGCAGATGCATATATAAGCACATGCATATGAGTTTAGTTTGTAATTTACTAAGATAAAGCATTGATTGAATGAATGAATACTGGATGCTTAGTTTTTATCTGATAATTATCATTTCAAAGTGGCATTTTAAAACCTCTGTGACTGTGACTGTGACTATTCCAGGTCTAAAAATTAAACTTTTAATATTCTCTCATACATCCATTTTATTTTTCAAGGTGGATAATTCCAGTTCTTCTGTGGATCATAATAGTTGCCAAGGATAATTAAAAATAGTGTATATTCTATTTACATATTTACAATCTTTTTTTTGATGCGTTTAAAACACAAAGCTGCTATTCCTTCTAGCTTCTGAGTGTGTGACGCCATCTAGTGGACAGTCTTGTTTGCACCCTAGAGTAGAAGCAGAAGTTGTCCAAAAATGTTTAGTCAATAGTTATTGTTCCTAACAAAAACGACATTATACTATAAAATCATTTCTACTTGTGAATTTGCTTGTGCATTCTCCTAATGATATCATCATTCAATCATCTTTACAACCAAATTAAGTGGTGATTTGAAGGGTCAAAAATCGGTCATAGAAGGATCAACCAGTTCTATTCTGATGTAAGGTGGCATCATTTGTTTAAAAAAGGAGGGAGAATTGTGATTCTATTCAAATCCAGGCTCTGCATACAAAGACTTCAAAGCCAGCAGCTCACAGGCACACACTCTGCTGTTGGGATCACCTGAGCTGAAGCAAACTGCTCTTTGATGACACACTGTGGAGTCCCCTTCCTTGCCACTCTTACAAAGGTAAATGTATCCACTCCTCCTCCCCCAAAATCCCCTGGTCCTCTTCTCACCGGTGTCCCCATTGTTTCATAGAAACCCAAGCCTTTGCATGAGATAGAGAGAGGAAATAGACGGAGTGAAGCCTGTGAAAGATGAACAGAGCACAGCAGTCCGGGTGAGAAAATATCTAAGGCAGGGAGGGAGAGAGATAAAGAGGATAACAAGAAGAAAGGGGAATCTGGGGATACTTGGAAACTCAAGAGGACACTGGAGGATTAAACCAGTTGTCAGTGAGTAAGTTGCTTTGATGTACCTTGCTCAGTATCTTTTTGAATGTATATCTACAAATTGTACTAAAAAAGAGAAGGTCTACTTCAATTTATATGAACATGTCAAAATGTTTTTAACATCTAAAACGGACTTTTGGTACATAAAATGTAAATTTTAGTGACACCATTGCAGATGAGCAGAAAAAAATTACAACTATATTTCATGTTGTGAAATATATTCTATCAGGCAGGTAGTAGCGATAGAGCACTATACTTTAGTTCTAGTTAAATTAATACTCTGACTCAGTTCAGTTTATTATAAATGTCACTGTTGAAGGACGATTCACTAAAAGCAGCTTCACTGACCAAACATAAATAAAAGAATACAATATTTGTTATATAAAAACATAGCTTAAAGTTACATTTACATTTAGTCATTTAGCAGACGCTTTAAAAAGTTTTACATTTTAAATGGTTTAACACTGGAAGCAAATTTATTTTTAATGTTTTTTAAAAGTTTTAACTGGGCCATTAGAAAAAAATCATAGCCTTAAGCCTTGTTTAAGTCTAAAATTTAATTCATAATGGCCTTAAAAAGGTCTTAAAAAATCTTAAATTTGACTTGTAGAAATTATATATATATAATTTCCTTTAGCTTGTTTAAAATCCTATTCTTAGCTATTTTAAATCCTTTAATCATCTTGAGGCCCCATGGTTTAGATTAAAACCACAACTGAATGTTTTCCACTTACAACCAATAGCAGGCGCGAGTGTTCACATTTTTAGCCTTTCAATCTGAATTCACCTATTATTTTTTGCAAAATGGGGGTCTACCTTTGCATTTGATTTAATTTAAAAAGTGCATTTCTTACATTTTAAGGGCCATTTTTTATCTTTACCAGTTTAATTTTTGTTTTTACATTAAAGGGATTCTGTTGAACTCAAAAGAAGATATTTCGAAGAATGTAAGAATTACGGTGGCCAAGACAGATTAACGTGCTGCAATTTAAGAAAACATGCAATTATGAAAAACACAAAAATATAAAAAGATTAATGAAAAAAGCTTCAATTTCACAAAAACCAAACAATTTACAAAAACGCACTGCATTTTCTCACAACACAAAATGAACCAAACACAACGTAAATGTTTCAAGTGGAGCCAAAAATGTGATTGACGCTGCTGTGCCATGACTATTGCTCAGAGAAGTTGCATACAGGTGATTTTTGAAAGGTGAGTTTTTTTGTTTGTTTTAACATCTCTGATTCCTGTGTCTTTAGTATTTAATAGTCTAAACGACTAACTAAATAGCCAGGTCCCTCAAGTCTCCTTGAAACATTGTGTTGTGAGAAAATGATGCGCATTTTTTAAAAATGCGTTAGCATTGTGAGGATATGCAGCATGTGTGCTGTCAAACTGATGAAGATCTTTTCTCCATTTGCTGGCGCTTTTTTGTAATTGCGTGTCTTTTCTTAAATTGCAGCATGTTAAGCTCTCTCGGCCACCGTAGAGAAACCTGTAACCATTAATATCCATAATAGGAGAAAACAAATATTATGGAAGTAAAGGTCTCCAACATTCTTCTAAATATCTTCTTTTGTGTTCAACAGAACAAAAAAAATCTAACTGGTTTAGAACAAGTCAAGGGTGAGTAAATCATGGCTGAATTTCTCTTTAAAAGCTAAAATATATATAAAGGAGTTCTTCACACAAAAGATAGTCCAGTGTCATAATTGATTATGTAATAAGTGTCTGTGTCACATGGCATGCAGGCAAGGCTTATATGCTGACTAATGAAAGAGTGCCAGTGTGGTGTGTGTGTGTGTGTGTGTGGCTGTGGTGTTAGTGTGGGATTGAACAGTCATCACATATTTCCACCTGCTATCCTGCACATTCTCAACACATCCAGACATTTCCTGTTCCTCTGTCAGGACACTGCTGAAACTCTCACCTCGCTGTCAGACAGTAAGAGTGAGATAACAGAGAAGCGAGAGAAAAAAAGAGAAAAAGATAGCAGAGGCAACCCCAGTCCTTCAGAAAAATAGATTTTCATGATGTTGTTTAACAAATCAGTAAAAATTTGATATCCACTGAATTATGAGAAAATAACAGACAGCTGCATTGCCTGGAATAATTGTCGTACTCAAGAACATAAAGTGTAGATTGCAGCATTTAATAGTAATAATAAATATGCATAATTTTTTACTCCCAATAAAGGATTGAATATGACACTTCATAAGTAAATGTTTAGCTTTACAATTGCTTTTAAATTGTGAATATTGACTGATATATACTGATAATAATGATTAATAACTGATAATAATTATAAACATTAATAATTATAAATATAAATTAATAATTATGAATGTACTGATTATACTGCCAGTTTAAATTACATTTTTAATTACTTTAATTCCTGTTTTTATTGCATTTTATTATTTCCCCCTTTTCTATTGTATTTTATTCTAATCTTTTATATTCATGATTATTTTTGTCAATATCTGTCATGTTACAGCAACACAAATAATACAAAGTTTTTATGGAAATTGTAGCTCATTTTTATTTGACAAAATTAATGTAAATATGCACAAACAAGCGGCCTGCTTGTTATTCACCTCAAAAAATTGAGGTTTGAATATGACTCTTCACAAGAACTGAAGAAGTCCATAAAATATTATAAAATAAAAACAAACTCACATCATAAATATTTACAGCGATATTTGTACAAATGTACACTATATACATTAAATCTGGATTCAACTACAACAGAAGGGGAAAATATTAATAAAAGATTTATGTGTGTGTGTAAATTATATAAAACAAATGAGCTTTGCAGTCATACCGTAATAAAATATCATAATAAACCTCTTACTTACAGTTAAAATAAACCTCTTTCTTCCACCTGTGTCATTACCACATACATAATAAAACGGTAATATTTAAAACATTATATTCAGAGTATTCCTATATTGCATCTGTTGTATTGATGTATGCTGGGTTTAAATGTTTTGTAGAGTGAGGGCAGTGTGGAT